AGCATCTAATTAATGTTTTTTAGCTTTTAGCTGCATTATAGCTACATAAAAGCCTTGTTAATACTTTTAGCAATTTGCCACTTTTAGCTTATAGTTAACATTTTGCTACTTCTAGTTTCTAACTAACCTACTGATGCTTTCAGCTAGTCTTTTGTTAATTTTTGTTTTAGTGCCGTTTTTAATTATATCGTTTAGCTAATCTTTTGGTAAAGATCACTTCTTAAATGGATTTTTTGGTTCAAAAAATTACCAGCTGCAGTTCACATTTTATTCATTATTAAAGATCACTAAACTAAGGAACCTGGTCAAAAATAAGAAATTATTAGCAAAGTATAAAATCAGAAAAGAATCGTTTACCTTTTTTTATAGAAGCTGTAATAATCAGAATTAAACTGGATGCAGTTTTTGCACAATTCTCCAAAATCAACAGAAACTTGGCGACATTTTATGGAGTAAACATTGGAAAACAGACAATTTTTGACATTTTATTACTGACAAAAAGGGAGAATGAATCCACCAATCAGATTTGAGAGTCAGTTCTGTGGGTTTAACATGCATGCTGATTCACACAGAAAAAAAACGACACTTTTTTTCACACCAAGAAAATCCACATCTGTTAACCAAGTCATGTGTAAAATAAATACTTTGTATTTTGTATTTAATTTAACCATAAAAAGCTGAGCAAAACACACAAAAAATGTGCAATATTGTTCTTTAAAAATATGTAGGTGTGATTTTAAGAAGGGCTGATTTTTTTAACTTGATTTAAAAAAAGATGTAAATAAAAATAAATTCTAGTTAAATTGACAGATTAAAAAAAAGCWACCTGAACCAGGAATCCTGCTGGTTTTATTTTTGTAAAGTAATTTCACCTGGTTTCTTGGCGTGCAGTTTGTGTGTTTGTTTGGACAGATAATTTTCAGGGTAAATTCACCCTTGTTCTAGTTACACACAGTTACACACAAGTACACACCCGGCACCCGCCTTTTGTTCATATAAGAGACCAGTTTCTGATCTAATTTCTGCCGGAGCACGTTACTGCTGCCGTCTTTTTGTCTTTAGCTTCTCGTGGCGCTGAACCTTCTTCGTTTTGTTGTTTAAATTCAGGGACATGTGAAGAAACATGTAAAAAAGAAACTGATGTGCATGCGTGTGCATGTGTGTGTGTCTTGGGCCACTACAGGACTTTTCAGGGCCACCGGATGAAAGTGGGCACCGTAGATCTTTGATCATTTTAGCTCATAAGAACAGAGAAACTAATCAGCTGGAATTGTTTCGTTCAGCTATAGACCCGAGCTTTAAAACAATCAGCTCCATATTTTTAATTTGTACACTTCTGGGGCCCCCTGGTGGAGCCTTACTGCTCCCACAAACTGATCAAAATGAAACCCCSCAAAAATCCCCAGAAATGAGTGTTTCACAGGAAGGAACCTGCATTTTAAYGTTTTAATTTATATCAGGTTTATCAGCTCCTCGTGTCGAGTAAAAGCAACATCAGTCACGAGCAAATGGATCCTACGAGCTCTTATTTATGCAAAAGATGCTTTTTAAAAATCTGTCGCCTTGTTCTGCTTGTCAGTGCTCCCCGCCACCCGCACAGATCTGCCACCTCCGGTGATTGATGCAGTCAAATTAGATGTATGTGGAACACTGGCTCCGGCAAATGAACACATCAACTGATGACCAGCTGTTTCTAATTATTATACACTGGTTAATTAGGACGCCGTGTCACCATCAGCGGCGGCGGTAAACTGTGTGAAATTCATAATTCATACTCCGGCGTCCAATGAGGCTCCGTGATCCAACCGCCACGGTGGATGGAGAGGCCGTGCAAGCGCAGAGCAGCGTGCGCGTGTGTGTGTGTGTGTGTGTGTGTGTGTGTGTGTGTGTGTGTTC